GCTTCTCTGTCTCCTTCAGGAAAGTGAGGGTTGTGGCAGGGGAAGGGAGTTGAAGGGCTCAGCTCCCTCCTTTATTAGATCCCCACCAAATCTAGTAGAGTTCTGGGCAGCAGGCAGCCCTGTACTGCTTATCCACAGAAATGCAAAAGCTGCTTCAACACCAGTGAATGAGAATTTGCAACAGCCCCCCTTTCCATGAATTAAATGCACAACATTCCTGGGGTTCAATCATGGGCTTCAGACTTCAGGCTGACTTCTTGTAACTTGTCACCACAGCAGGTACTGTGTGACTCAGCATTGTAGACTCTGCTATGCCAGCAAAGTTTCGCACCATCTCCCCTCCTTAGCACCAGCCCTTGTTTCTTTTAGCCTAAGAGAACAACAGCAAGGCTGATGAGAAAGAAAGGGTGGCAGGAGAAGAATTAGTAAGCGCTGTGCTATGCATGGCAACCCTGGATTAGACTGAAGCCCTGTCTGAGAGGGCTGCGGAAGACATGGGAGTGGCAGGAACCTCTGCCACAGCAAGTTCCACCCAGGATTTGAGGCCCCACTTCTGGTTCACACAGTCACTGCACAGGAATTCTCAATGAGTGTCTAGTCACCATTCTCAGGTCCTAAAGCAGAGTGCTCAACAGAAACTGCTGGGATAGGAAGCTCAGATCTGATAAGTTAGAGAACAAAAGGAAAGCAAGTAAGAAGAAAAGAAGATACTTGGTGATACATGAAATGGTAGAGGACAGGGAAGCGGTTAGTTTAACAACACCATGGCCCTGCAAGGCTCAGTACCTATTAGAGAAACTTGTCCATAGTCCCACTGCTTTTATGCCTACTCTGAAGATGATACAGTTGGGAGCTCTCCTGAAGCATTTTGGAAGCTACTGTGGGAATCAAAAGCACTCACAATCCCACCTGGCAATTCGATTGTCATCCATTCACTCATCTAAGCTTTCCAGAGGGTCTACCATGGGCCAGGCCTAAGACCACAAGAAAAGGTACTTAGAAAAGTTCAGGTGGGCTGGCATTGACAGAAAGTCACCCAAGGACAGGAGGAAGCACCTCTCCTTTGCTTCCCATGCCATATGCGGGGAAATTCTTCAGAATGATGCTTCTGGTCTCTATCTACACCTTCTCAGGGGCTGCTCTCAGGACAAAAGGAGGCAACTATTTGGTGATCAGTCCCACCTAGCTGCTGGGGGAACACATACTCTGCTCTCGAGACTGTCAGTGTTACAGAGGGAGGTGCCCCTGAAGGTCACTGACACAAAGCCAGAAAAAGTTACCCATATACCCTTGTGAGGAAGGTGACATTTTACTGTCCCATTATTACTCCTTTAACTCTGGTAAAGTTCTCAATTCAAGGTGGGTGAAGAGTCAGCATCTACTGGCCCCCAAAACCCAGGCACCTCTTTCCACATTTTCCCCCAGACTTAAAAAAGACCAGTGATCAGTAGTCTTTTTTTCCACTCTTTTACAGCAGAAAAACTATAGAATTTGAGCACCAAGTGACTTATCAGAGGTCATTTGATAATTCAAGCACTTAAAATGGAAAAGTCAGATCCTCCAACAGATGTCACTTCAAGTGCACTCACTTCCATTTGAAATATTGGGAGGGGTACTGAAAATTGGAAATATATATATATATATTTTTTTTGCCATGTAAGAAGACTATTGTATCCTACCTGGAATGGAAACACTATGTACAGTGCTCACCCGCCCTACTCTTTTCATAAAAATCTAAGGATGAAGGAGGAGAGGAACTGGGAAAAAGAAGAAAAACTCTTCTCTGGCTTGGGGGAATCAGGCTTTTATATATTCCATTCATGAAACAATTATTGTGGGGGTCCTAAGTGCCAGGCACTGCTCTTAGATAAAAACAAAACTTATGAGTCTACATTTTTCTTCTTCCTGTGTAATACTGCAATCTCTTTCTCTCAGATAAGGTCTCATCAGTCACGTGGTCACAACTATCCACACAGTCTGGCCATGGAGAATGGGTGACTGTAGTTCCTGCATGCTACCTTCTACCTTCTATCTAGGGGTCCTATGTCTCCATTAAAAAAAAAAAAAGACAATACATGCCAATATAATCCCAATCCAATACAGACCATAAAGTGGTGCCCTTTTCTGTGGTTGGAAAACACACTTTTCAGATGCTCAGCTGCCCATAAATGCAAAACAAAGCATAGGTCACAATAAGGCTAGGGACCATAAGTAGGATGTTCTTAAACTCCAAGATGAAAATATAACCCAGGGAAGCCATAAAACAATAAACAAATGGCACCTCTTTTTCATCTTAAATACAAAGCTTCAGATTCAGCAAAACGAAAGAGTGTCCTACTTGCAATTAACACTTTTACAAGTTCAAGTTTACTTAAGAGAAAGATTACACATTATAAAATCCTTCAAATTTGTTACTAATTAGAAAGACTGGCAAGCATGAATTAGTGAAAAATTGAGATACAAAACACGTGCCAAATACTATGACTTTTTCTAAGGAGAGGGTGTACACGCAACACTTCCCGAGAATCTTGATTCTAGGGACCCTCCTATTAGACCCTTCATTTATTTAATTCAATTCTCACAATGTTCCCAGGAAGTAAACAATAGAGAGCCCATTTTTATTCCAGATGTGGAAACTAAAGCTCAGGTGGTAAGTAACAGTTTCTATATTTCCTCCTCCAGTTCCTCTAGCAAAAGTCCTTATTCTCTGAATCAGTGTTTCTCAAGGGGTTTGGGTAAAGTGGTCATTATGGTCTTGGCCTGGAAACTTTGTATGGGATTATCAAGCACTGCAGGACATTTAGCATTGCCAGCTCACCGGCACAAAATACAAACAGCAGCTCCCAATAGCACTTTCTACACATCTCAGATGTGTCCTTGAAGGACAATGCCATCCTCAACAGCAGAGGAAAACCACAGCTCTGCTTCTTTGAACATCAAGACAAAAGACTGAAGGGAGGAGTACTTCATTTAAAAGACCCCCCTATCTTCAAATATCTCAGAAGTCCCTGTTTATGGCATTTAGGCTAAGAAAGCCTCAGACGCTCTTCTGAAGCCAGTTATCAAAGCTCCATAAATATATGTATTGCCATGTAATCTGCAAGAATTTTTTGAGTACTCATGATGGGCCAGGTCCTATGCTATTGGGCGGGAAGATGAAATCAAAGAGCACATGGTCTCTACCTGCCAAGGGCTTAGAGTCTAGTAGAGAGACCAAGTATGGTAAATTCTAGGGTAGATATAAGCATGGGTGGGTACTAAGGAAGCAACGGGAAGGTAGAGAGACAGGGAGGACTGGAACAGGTTCCCAGAGGAAGAGAAGCTTGTCTTAAACCTTGCAAGATGACATGGGAGGAGCCAGGAAGGTCCCAGTCCCTGCGGAGAAAACTGCCTCTGCAAAGACCAGAGACAGGAATCACATTTTCAACAAAGCTTAAAACACTTCCTTCATTTTTCAAGTTCAGAGCTCATTGTGACTCAGAACCAGGATCTCCTGTTTACTAGATAGGCACTTCAGCCAAATAAGTCACTAGAAAATAAAACAAATTCTCTGTATTCCACACATACTTCTTTTCAGAGCTTATTTTGGTAAGGTCTGGCTCCACTGGTATGATTACCCATTAGACAAGAAATATGAGTAATTCTATACTTCTTACAGTGATCAGTAAATTGTCTTCAAGAACACGGTGGACTGAGGTGGGGTTGTGCCTCAGCTGAAGAGCGCTCGCCTAGCACCTGCGCGGCTCTGGGCTGGATCCTGATCCTCAGCATCACATAAAAATAAATAATTTTTTTAAAAAAAGGTATGCGTCCAACTACAACTTAAAAAAAAAATAACACAGCGGACTGCCAACAAGTGGGAGTATCTCTCACTTGGGGACACAAGAGAAGCAAAAAAGATTATAATCAATGTCATCTGATGAGTGAGTGGAAGGGTTCCAGTAGGTCAACCTACCGTTGGTCTCAAGCTCAAAATGAACTCTACCTCAACTTTTTGTTTTTGAGGTATCTGAAATCTTGTCTCCTTAATCAGATGTCACAATGCACAAAGACAAATTCTTGCCCTATTTTCATGTTTGCACAGAAAAGACAAACTAGAAAAGTCTTTGGTTATTTTTTTTTTTTTAATGGCAGATCAATCTATCTCGGTATCTAAGAGAGGGAAAGAAAGAATGAAGCTCATTTTTGTGGATGTGGTTGGAAAAGCAGGTAGCGGCCAGCTGAGGATCTCTGAACCTGAGACAGCTTAGAGGCAGTAGTTTCCTGAGTTCATGGGTTCTGAGTACAGGAGCTGGGCTGTTGCTACTTTAGGTTGTTAAGACAGTAATTATAAGGAAAGCAAGAGTCAGGTTATATCAATTTCTCTCTCCTGGGACAGGAAGGGGAGGCAGAAGCAAGTAAGCCCATGTGGTTGCTTCTGTTCTACAAGGAACAGGCTCATTTCCCTTTGGCAAGGAGCCTGCTGCTGCTGGCAGACATGCCCTCTTTTTCCTACCTCAGTTCCCCTCTGTAGAAGCACAACTCTGGTGGTGAAGGTAGGCTCCCACTTAGGTCCTTGATTTTATCACTTTATCATTCAGGCACACTTTGATCCTTAATTTGACATCAGAAACCCTTCTGGTCCACGTGTGTCTCCTCTCCCCCAGAAAGTACCATCAATAAGAAAGCCCTTGTTCCAAAGTAAGTGAACCTGAGATGAAGAACTGGAAACCCTTCAAAATCACCTGACTCTACTTTTAACCAGGAAGTTCAAAGGAGGTAGAGCTGTGCAATTAGCAAGTCCAAAGTTCAAAATTAATTGGGGGGGGGGGGCGGGGAAGGTGGTCCTCAACGTAAAGGCTTTCCAAAGAGGCGGGTTGTCTTCCTCCAGTCCCCCCACCCCAGGCTGATTCCACTTCGTTTCTGTAAACTTTACTAATCCCTGAAGAGCTGTATAAACACGGACAGGTGTAGGGACACCTTCACCCTCGGGGTACATCTGCTGCGCTGTTGCTGGGTACACTGGGTGCAGGGCCCTTGACCCAATCGCAGTCCAAGCTTCCCGATGACGCACCTGGTCAGGGTCCTCTCCCACGTTTGAGGGGGGGCAAAGTGAGCATCCCCAGTCCAGGGGACACCCAGTCTGTCTTGACAGGAGTGGGCAGGATAAAAGGGCACCTTGGGGCTGAAACCTCATGCCGAACTCCCCGGCTTTCCCTCCATTTCCAGCATATCGTTTTGAATTAGGGGCACTCTTCTACCCTAAAGTCCTGCTCACCCAGAGTCTCTCCAAAGCAAGACAATAATGCGCCTTCCGGCCTTCCTCGCTCAGGTGAGTGCCAAGTGGTGTAGGAGGAAGGGGCCCACTCTCCACCGCCCCCTTTTTTCGCCTCCCCACGATCGCCGAGCTTCAGCAGGGATGTGTGGATTGGGGTGCGCGGGTTAAGAGGGAGCTTAAAATGCCCCAAGCGTCCCTTACCTTCCACAGCCATTCTCTCAGAGCTTCCCTAACGCATGCATAATTTTCTTGGCCGAGGTACTCCTCCTGCCCGCGCTACCCCCCTCCTCTCGCTTTCGCCTAAATATTCTGCGCTCATCTGCTCCAGGACCAACCTGCCGCGGTCACGCAAAGCAAGCAGCCGGCTCCCTGCTCGGCGCAGGGCGGCTGGGAAGTGTAGTCCCCTTCCTTAGCCGGGATCCCGAGACACCCCGAGTCCCCGCGGAGCGCGGCTTGCGGCCACCCTCGGACGGCAGCTTGGGCATCAGCGGGTTCGGACCAAGCAATCTCTCCTAGGGGACTCGTTAAGAGGACAGGGTACCGCGGAGCCTCGGGAGGTGGCTGGACTACATCTCCCAAGATGCCATGCTTCCTTCTTTCGGTGCTAAGAGGAGGGATCGGTGATTGAGACCTTCCCTGTCATTAGGAGCGCCTAGGCACCTGGCCCCCAGCTGTTCTAGGCAGAGGGCCGCCGGGTTGCGAAATGCTCTGGTCCCTGGTCCCCTCGTTTTGGGGGGCGAGTAGAGCCACCCGCTGTCTGGGGTGCTCCACCTGAGCCAGAGACCTGCTGCACAGGATGCGGTTGAAACTTGTTCCTCTGGACCCCGGGATGTGTGGGGTTTGTGGGGAATCCCGCCAGGTCCAGCTGCGGTCTTCTAATCCTCCAGGGTGGTTCTGGAGGCTAAATACTTATCATAGGCGTGGGTGAATTCGGGAGTGGCCTAAAAATACCCAATAGACAGCATCCCCAGGGGATTATTAGGAGCAAAACCTAGGAGCCAGGATTCCATTGAAGGACATCTGACCAAGAAAACCTCCCTGGCTACTGAGGTGTGTGAGGCTTTCACCCTCCCCGGCCTAGGAGTCTGTTGGTGGCCAGGGATAGTGCCCATAATAATAGTGCCCAAGAATTAGTGTTCTTTTGACTTCTGAACCTCTTCTCTACCTTCAGAAGCTGGTGATGCTATAAGAAGAAAGGATAAGGGGAATCATGTAGATGGCAATATAATTCCAGAGCTGGTAAATATTGAAAAAAAAAAATTAAGTTCCCAAACTTTTTTTCTGCTGCATGAGGAAATACAGATGCAGTTATGACTGGAAGGAGTAAGGAAATGATCATGAGAACAATCTGATTTAGGATTGGATTAAGACTTTAAAGGCTTGGAGCTCAGAAATTTCTGGTACTTCGATCACCCAACCTTAGCACTAGTGCCCATCCTCCCCCTTTTTAACCCTGCTCTGCAAAATAACTCCAAGAAAGTTCAAAGACCAGATTCCATGATGACTACTTAGACTTTTGTCTGTCTTGGAAAAATTCTAAAAGAAAATTTTTCACAATAGTTTTGTTTCAGAGTGTATGGCACACCTGTTTCTCTGGTCACTATTTACTCACTTAGTCCTCCTGTTGGCTAGCATGACTGTATAGAGAATAGGTACTTTTAAAACTACCTGCATGTAATCATTAAATACCCTTGGTGATACTTTAAATCTGAGTTCATGCAACTGTGTACAAATCAAACCTCAGGCTTCCATCCTAGGTACAATAGAGAGATCTATCCAGAAAGACAAACTTTCCATTGAAAAGAATTGTTGGATTTAATATACAGCTACATATTCTAAAACCTGGAAAGTGCTGAAACCTAGTGCTTTCCTCCTGCCTTGTGCATATAGTCATCAAAGTGTTAAGTCTTTCTTTAGACTTAATAGATGGAAAGCAGAGCCATATGTTTTAGTTATATTTTTTTTGCTGCTGTGACTAAAAGACTGACCAGGACAATTTTAGGGGAGGAAAAGTCTAGGTAGGGGCTCAAGGTTTCAGGGTTCTTGAGGCTGAACATTATGGCGGAAGAGTGTGGCAGAGGGAAGTGGCTCACATAATGATCAGTAAGCAGAAAGAGAGAGAAAGAGAGAGACTCTTCTGGTCAGATACAAAATATATACCACAACAGCACACTTCTGGTAACCCACCTCCTCTAGCCATACCCTACCCACCACCAGTTACCACTCATTGAATACCAGAAGGGGATTAATTCACTAATTGGGTTAAGGCTCTCATAACCCAATCATTTCTTCTCTAAACCTTCATTCATTGTCTCACACATGAGCATTTGGGGCACACTTCAAATCCGAACCATAACACCATACTATAGGCAATGTCAGTGGTTCTCAACATTGGCTGTACAAATATATCTCTATTTTTCACACGTTAGGGGTTTGGGTAGAAGCACTTAGGTTTTAAAAGTCCACAGGTGATTCTAATCTTCAGCAAAGCTGAAAATCATTGTTCAAGCTCTTAAATATCTGAGTGATATTAAATGTATAAGTCACTGAAATTTATTGCTAATGCAAAAACTTTGTTTTAGCCTAAGTCTTTAATAACTTTCCCAACTGATGTGTGTGCCTGTTGAATTTTTAGTATAAACATAAATAGGATGTGAATGAAATATTAGTTTGAACCACATGAAGCAGGCTGTTTGACTATTTTAAACCAATAACCAGTGTGGTTTCATGTGCTTCAAACTAATAAATGATAAGCAGCAGTTAAGCAGAGGTTTCTGATTCTAGTGGAATATTAAAATCACCTGGGATACTTTTGAAAAAATTGCAGTTCTCAATAAAATGGCCAAAATAAAAAGACAGGAAATACCAATTCCTGTTAAGACTGTGAAGCAGTAAGGACTCATATTGCTGCTGGTGTGTAAATGGATGCAACCTCTTTGGAACAACTCTTGACATATTAAGCTCAACATCCTCTTGTCTCATGACCTAGCAATTCTACTTTTACATGTATGCTGTGTTCTCTAAAAGACATATATAAGAACGTTTATGGCTGCATTGTTTTTATCTTTCCCAAGTGGGAAACAACCCAAATATTCATCAATAATAGATTAGATAAATAAATCATGATATAACCAAATAGTCCTAGAGATCAGAAGTCAATAAAATGTTGCCGCTATGACCACTAGGCACCACCTATTTAAGAGCTAAGTGTGATTTATATTTTTAAATGTTGGGAGAAAAAGCATAATATTTTGCAACACCTGGAATTTATATACAAGTAAGTACATGATGTCTTCAGTTTTTCTTCTTCACCTACAAAGCATAAAGTGCCATCCCTCAGTGTTGCTATATTAATGAGAAGCAGGTTCCTCAGGAGGAGGGAATTAGGCAAGACTTTGAATACAGAAAGTAGGGGGCCCTAGTAGCCATCTTAGAAGCTGCATACAAGCAGAATGTTGAGTGAAAAAAAAAATCAGACAAAAAAACATATATTACAGTGCTTCAATTTATATGAAAATTAAAAACCAGACAAAGCTAATTGATACTATTAGAAATTGGGATAGTAGTTCCCATACTATTAAAGGGAATTTCAGGGAAGAACAGCAAGCTCTGGAAGCAAGCCTCACAGGTTCACATGCGATGGTGTCCTTGGTTGTTATGCAATTTACAAACATGTATATTGTTTGTGAGCACCTACTGAGATATATACATATGATTTGTGCAAGTTTATATGTGCATTAGAGCCCAACAAAATTTTGAAAAGGAATAAATGCTTAAATTCCACCAGGTATGATCAATGATCCATTTACCATCCACCCTTTAATTTTCTGTGCCTTCTCAGGTTCTTTCTTTGCCAGAAAAGTGGCAGTTCCATTCAATTTCATTTAACAAGTGTGTTTGAAGGACTTACTATGAGCCAGACATTCATCCAGGTACTTGGTATATATGGTAGACTACATCTCCAGAAGAAGGCCTAAAAATGTTATACCACGACAGTTGATCTTTTAAAAAGTAAATTATTTGGGTAGGCCTAAAATTATCATATCTTTCCTTAGAACCAGAGATCTTTCTCCAGCTACTAGCAGAAAAGGATGGTAAAAGAGGAACTACAAAAAATCCTAGGCATGAGAAGTAATCAGCACTCTTTTACTCCTTAAAAATGAAGGGAACAAAATGTATGATATGTCAAGATCATTGTAATGTTTTGAGCAACTAATAAAAAAATTTTAAAAATGAAGGGAGCAACATGAGAAGGGATGCACTTGGCCACTAACTGTTAGCCCATAAGGTAGCAGAAGCATTGGTTCTGTGGTTATCAGGAGCTGGATTCTGCCAACAACATGAATGAGCCTGCAAGAGAATCCTTCCCCAGATGCTTCAGATAAGAGTCTAAGCCAGCTGACGCCTTGATTTAGGTTTTGTATACACTTAGCAGAGAACCCAGAAGAGCCCTCCCAGATGTCTTGGTTCCAGGACTAGGAGCTAACAAAGAGCCATTGTTTTAGGTTGCTAACTTTGTGATAATTTGTTATGCAGCAATAGAAATGAATACAGGACACATCCTGTACAAAACAGACTGTAATCCTGGCCATATTTTTGTGGGTTGAGACAGTTAAAAACAATGATAATATTAATAATACCAATAGTGACCAAGTAAATCAGATTCTGTGGGTAGCTTCACTCCCCAGATTTCTCTCTCTTTTTTCAAGTTCTTCAAGTGTTTATAATCTTCTATTTTGCAAAATTGTTAATAAGAGAGCACAATGCCTGGTAAGAAGAGACACATTCGACAGTTCTCTCTCATGTGTTCCAGTAAGCTCTTACTGAATCTTGTCATGTTCCTTTGCAACACCCCTCTTGAACGAAGGCTTCTTCATTCTCTCTGCCACCATCCTGTGGAAGTCAGACAGACCTGGCTTCAGAGCCTGGTTCCGGTGAGTATGAGTTACTTCTCCCTGGATATGGTATTTGAAAGCATCAAGCATGTTTCCACAATTATAATTGGCAGTGAAGATTCCCATAGTGTTTTTCTTAGCCAGCTTCTCACTGCTGTTGACAAGTCCCTAAGAAAAACAAAGGAGAAAGATTTACTTTGGCTCACTCACGGTTTCAGAGGTTTCAGTCCAAGGTCAGCCTGTTCCATTGCCTTTGGGTCTGAGACAAAGCAGAATATTATGGCAGAAGAGCATGATGGAGGAAAACTGCTCAGCTTATGGTAGCCAGGAAACACCAAGGGGGGTGGGGGTGAGAGAGAGAAGAGAGGACTGGGTGGGGACAAGAAATGCCTTTCCAGGGTACACTCCCAGTGACCTACTTTCTTTAACCTGGTCCCTCTTCTACAGTTTCCACCGCCCCCCAGTAGTTCATTCAGCTATTAACGGATTAGTCCCCTGATGAGGTCAGAGCCTACATGATCCACTCATTCCCCAATCGCTCCATCTCTGAACTCTGCTGCCTTGGGGACCAAGCCTTCAGCACATGAGCCTTTGGTGAACACTTCATATTCAAACCATAACAGGGTTATTTTAGGATTAAATCACTTAACTTGGGTAGATCACTTAGAAAGGTACTTGGAATATAGTTAACACCACACATTAGTTAGTTTTCTTACTAAGGAAGGTGAAGTGTACAAATTTACCTGTTCCTATCAGGTGCTCAAAAATGTCACTTTTACTTCCTTTCCAAAGTTCTAATCATCACTTCACACACAAGTACATGTGCTCTCTCCCTTGTTTTAATCTATTAAACAAACGTTTAATGCAAACGTTTAAACAAACGTTTGTTACGCAGTCACCATGAATCCAGTACTGTTGAAAGGCCTGAGAATTCAGAGATAAAGTCTCAGACTCAACAGGGATAAGACTCAGGATAGAGGAAGAAGAGAGGATATGGTGGAAATAGGTAAGTCAATATACTGTCAAATAGCATGGAATAAGGGCTGTGGTCAGTGTGATGGTTAATTGTGTCAGTTTGGGCCACAGGGTGCTGAGACACTTGGTCAGAGATTGTGGTTGCTTTCGTGAGGATGTTTCTGGATGAAATTTACATTTAAATCAATAGACTGGAACTACATGATTAACTTTCCTGGTTCTCTGGACTTCAGATTCAAACTGTAATTAAACCATCTTCTTTTCAGGGTTCCAGTTTGCCTACTCCCTTTGCATATCTTGGAACTTGCCAGCCTTCATAAACTCATGAACCATTCCTAATAACATACCTCTGTCCATATATCTACATCTTCTTGGTTCTTCCTCAGTGCAACCCTGACTAATACAGTCAAATCTACACAGAGTGTAGATCTCCTAGACTCTAATAGGTCCTTAGGGATAGAGGAAGTCAGAAGAAAAGAGAATCAAGAGGACCTCCTCCGTGTCCTGATTCTGGAGCCAGGTGGCAAGAAGTGCTTGGAGGTCACTGGAGAAGACAAGGGCATTCTGAATGGAATTCACAGTGTGTGCAAGGGTGGGGAAGGGAGAAGAAATCAGGAACCTGCAAAGAGGGCCAAGCACAGAATGTGCATATAAAGATGCTGAGAAATGTCCAAGAACACAGATGTCTTGTATTATATCCAGTTTTGGCTTCCTCAGTAGTAAAAGTGAGTCAATGAAGTATAATAAGTGGGATGGCAAATTCAAATTTTCCCAGCCCAAAACTAGTAGCTTATATGCATAGGAGCCTCCATTGGACTCTTTTACATAAATGTATTTATAGCAGTATTTCATGTTTTTATCCAATAATTATTAATATAATAATTGCAATGACTATTGACTGATTCTGTGTGCTAGATAGCTACAGTGCAAGCATATCACACATTTCTCATTTACCATTCATAATAACTCCTGGAACTGGATCAGAGCATATATATAAATTCAAGCACAGAGAAGTTAGTGATTTGTCCTTGTGATTTCAGAAAAGCAGAGTGTGAGAATTTCTTTCTTGATATTCATTCTCTCCTTCCTCCTTATTAACAGAATCTTGTTTTTATTTAGGATGATGATGATCCAATTAAAAGGCCAAATGTTCCAGCCTTCCTTGTGTGACTAAATTCTGGCCAACTGGATCTAATAAAAATTTTTGAATGGGATTTCTAAAAAAGATTTTTAAATAGAAATGATAGCTAGTGCTAGGCTCATTTTCCTTTAGTTTCCTGCTTTGGACATAGTGTTGATGGTTGGAGCTCTGATAATCTTTATGGTTGGTGACATAGGCTACAAAGAGCTGAGCAAAAACAGGGCACTTGATTAATGTTAGCCAACCAACCTTGCAGTAACTTTGTCTTGTATTTTTTTAACTTAATTGATTTTATTTTTTAAAATACATGACAGCAGAATGCTTTACAATTCTTATTATACATATAGAGCACAATTTTTCATATCTTTGTATATAAAGTATGTTCACGCCAATTCATGTCTTTATACAATTCTTATTACACATATATACCACAATTTTTCATCTCTCTATATAAAGTATGTTGATGCCCAATTCATGTCTTCATATATGTACTTTGGATAATGATGTCCATCACATTCCACCATCCTTGCTAATCCCCTGCCCCATCCCTTTCCCTTCCACCCCTATTCCCTATCTAGAATTCATCTATTCCTCCCATGCTCCCCCTCCCTATCCCACTATGAGTCAGCCTCCTTATATCAGAGAAAACTGTGGCATCGAAACATAATGGAATTTTACTCAGCAATAAAAGAGAATAAAATCATTGGCATTTGCAGGTAAATGGTGGCTTTGGAGAAGATAATGCTAAGTGAAGTTAGCCAATCCCAAAAAAACAAATGCTGAAAATTTTCTTGTCTTGTATTTTGTATGAGAAAAAATAAAATTGCATATTATTCAAATGACTTTTACTTTTTGTCTCTGTTATCAGCAACCAAGTACATTTCCTAACTGATACATACAATATTAGCAAGGGACAAAGTCTGGGTCCCATCTCATGCTTCTCATGAAATTTATTCATTATTATGCTGTTATTGTATATAAGCACTTCAGGTGATGGAACCGTGTCCCTTTCTTGTACTTTCACATTCTCAGTCACAATCTCAGTCATAGTAAGTCCTTAATAAATAATTCATTATTACTATTTTCATTATTATCAGCATTTATCAAGTGATTACAAATAATGAGCTCTTTAATGAGTACTTTCATTTACTCTGTGTCATTTGATCCCTGCAATATTGTCAAATATCACTATTTATAGATGAAGAAATCAAGACTCAGTGAGATTAAATAACCTACTCAATGTGTCAAAAACACAAAGTAGTAGTGAGATGAGTCAAGTTTAAGTGCAGAGCTTTGTAGCATCAAGTTGTTCCATCTTGATTTCAGTACTAATGACATGATCATAAGTCTTATTTCATGAGCACTTCAACAGTTGTTAATAATGATAAAATGAAGGGTTTAAAATATTTCAGTGTAAGAAAGTGTGATGTGTACAGTTACTCAGTAATTTCTGTATATATTGGAATGTGCAAAATAGTAAACATCAGCGTATCACACTGTTTTAGTGATTTAAAAAGTAAAAATACTAAGATGTGCCTACAGGTTTTGACAGTTGCTAGCATTTAAAATAATTTATATAAATATTTTCCTGAATTTTGGTCTTTTACCTAAGTTGCCTTATTTATAAGTTTCTATAGAAAACATTTGAAAGTCTCAAAGTGAAATGGTTGGTCATGTCTCTATTCCATGTAGGGTGATCTTATAAATGTACTAGAAAGATCCAAATCCTCAAATCTAAAACAGTTTTTAAATTTCGCTCTTTTTTTAGTTGTAGTTGGACACAATACCTCTATTTTATTTATTTATTTTTATGTAATGCTGAGGATCAAATCCAGTGCCTCTCACATGCTAGACAAGCACTTTACCACTGAGCCACATCCCCAGCCCCTCAAATCTAAAACTTTTGACATGATCAAAAGAGAGAAAAATATGATTCCCTATATTATTGAAATTAAAAACAATAACCCTTTCTATCTTGAGTCTTAAACAGAAGTGCCAATCATTCTAGCTATATCGGGTTTCTGTTGGAAGGACAGAGCATATTTTTTAGCAAAACATAGCTGTTTCTGCTTAAACCACATTGCGTATGATTAAATCATGTGTATTGTCTGTATTTTGATAAGTTGGTGCGAGAGTTTCTATGCCTTGTTTTTTGCTTTCAAAATCAAACACTCAAATTTCATTACCCACAAATGGGCAGAATCTATTTCTTTATTAACCATGGTTGCCTTAATATTTGGTTTAAGTACTTAAGCTTCATAGACATAAGAACTAGGCTGTCATCCTAAACAGATTCTTACTGGTTCTTACTAATTCTTGGTTATTGATCAAGTCCTTTGACATATCTGTGTCCCAGTTTCCCCACATATACAGGAATATAGTTAATTGAATCAGGCACAGATTATCTAACACAGAAAACTGGTGCTCAGCAATAACTAGCAGAGTGTAGAAAGAGTCCCAGGCACTGGTCCTGGAACACACTGAACATCCAGTAAGTGCTGGCTTTCACCATCCTCATGTTCCAAAGAAGCCTCAGGAGTCATTCCCAAGAATGCAGATGCACTTTCAGTTAAGTGTTGATGGGCCTCGAGGCCATTTGCAGAGTCTGATGCAAGTCTTCCAGTCTGACTTGCAATTAAGTCATAGGATGAGCTTAAATTGGTCTGTACAGAGCCTTCTCAGTCAAGCAGGAAAACATGGCTATGCAGTGGGAAAGCCAGTACTGGACTTTTGCCCACTCTTTTGATAGATTCTGTTGATAGAATTGGGTGTAGGATTATTGCAGATCATAATGGCTGATTACATGCAAACATGTGCTGTTCTGGAGTTGGTATGCTCACGTAGATTTGCAGTAGTTCTTACAGGTGTTGCCCCCCCCCCCCAGTGGAGATCTTAAACAATGCTAGCAGCCCAGGAGTGGTCCTCTGGAAGTGCTTGTCATTTACACACACCTGCAGAACACTAGAAGGGCTGCAGCTGATTTGCATCAGGTTTGGAGGCTACATTTTATTCCTTTCTCTGAACTGACTAGAATTCTTTGCTAGACATGCTAAAGCTGACGGGTTAATGTTATAATTTTTATTTTATTTTATTTTTTTAGTAATTATTATTTTACTTGTACAAATTTATGAGGTACATTGTGATATTCAATACATGTATACAATATGTACTGATAAAATCAGGGCAAACATGATTTTATCATGATCTTATCAGTACATATTGTATACATGTATTGAATATCACAATGTACCTCATAAATTTGTACAAGTAAAATAATAATTACTAAAAAAATAATTTGAAAAATGATATTGAAGCTTACAGTTTGAAATATGTACTATTATACTATAACTATGTATCAGATACTTTCCAGATATCTAAAGTATAAATACTGATAAGATAGCCACTATATTAAAGATGGCTAATAACAATAAGGCACATGAGATACACTTCTAAAAAATTTTTCATAAAATAAAAGTGGCCTACCACACACAAAAAATAGAATTTTATAAATTTATAAAAATAAATTTAAACTCAGACAATTTAATCATAGATCCTTAAATTTTATCATAGAATTTAAGGGTCATAACAACATCCTGAATGACCCTGAGTATATATTTTCCCATCTGTTTATTACCTTAGTTGTGTCTTTTCTTGTGTGTACTAAGGTTTCTTCAAGTGGAATAACATTTTTGGAAAAAGAATAAAGAAGGTGTTTTCTAATAGTAAAAAAAAAATCAGGGCATGCCATTATTTCTTGGTTATCTCCACTATGTTCCTCTGTTAATAATTATCTGAATTTTTTTTTTACTTTTAATGGTTATATACGTTACAATGAACTTTCAACTACATTATTGTATTTTATCCTTAAGTTAATGGTGAATGAATATTATTTACTCCATTTTATGGGCATGAATCTGAGGCTGGAGAGGATAGAGGAGTTGTCCAAATTCATACAACCAAATTCATACACCTGACTTCAGCACTTTCAACTTCCAAATCCACTACTTTCCTCATTCCATCTCAATGCATTATCTATCTCTTCAGGTGTAAAAGTACAACTTATTTGGCTTCTCAGAATATACAAAAATGCACTCTGAGATGGAAAATTCCATTTGGTATTGAACATTTCAATATAATTCTACCTGAATTGTGCAAAATAACCCACAGAGAGTGAAATTTTTTCTGAGCTTAAAAAGTGCAGTAGTCTCAATGGAAGATTCTAGTAGGAAGGTTTTCTTGTTCAGCATTCTTTAAGCCTTAGCTGCAATCTTCCAAGTTGACTGCCATTGTTTACTAACTTCTCTATCTGCCATACATTCCTGCCCTGTGCAGTCCCTTCCCCATCAGTAAACACAATGATAGGACTCAAATCTAATCATCTCACTCCTCTGAAGTCCTTTGATTACATTCTTTGCCCTTTGGTTGTTCCACAAGCCCTAAGACAGCTGGCCTCAGCCTTCCATGACAGGTTACTTTTCTCCATTCTTGCAGAGCTAAAAATCTTTCCTTATCAGCACTCACATAAATTTGTGAGAATATATTTATTTTTGTTTCCATTTAAATACTGTTAGTGTCTGCTCTGCTTCCCTGAGTGCAGGGATGAATCTGACTTTGCCCACTGTTGACATTCCAGCCACTAGCACTCTGTCTGGCCCATAATAAATACTTAATATATGTATTATGTGTTTATAAATAATGAGTGACTGGAGGAGTCCATGGATAAACTATGTAATCCTGAGTCTTTATTTTTTTCCAGTGATACTGCAGATTGATATTTTGTTTTTGTTTGTTTTAATATTTCATGTTTTGGGAAAAGATAATTTTATACATAGAATAAGTTTGGAAATATCTTAGAGAAAAGTTCATCTAAGCCCTTTTTTGGAGACAAAAAAGTGAAAAGGTTTACCCAGTTTATACCATGGCAGAATAATTCCTAGAGTCCAAATCTGGGTCCAATTTTTTGTTGGTGGTTTGTAGAAGGTTTTGAGTGTGTCTCTCAGGTATTCATTGATTGGAAGCTTGGTCCCCAGTGGGACAATGTTAAGAGGTGGTGAGACCTTTAAGATGTGGGGCCTTGTGGGAAATTGTTAGATCATTGGGGATTTGCCCTTGGAAAGGATTAATATAGTCTTCATGGAATCCCAGTCACTCTCTGGCTTCCTCTCTTGCCATGTGATCACCCTGTCATTCCCAGGTTCTCAATACTATAATACCATCTTGCTGTGAGGTCCTCACCAGAGTCAAGCTGATGCCAGTACCATGCCCATGAACCTCTAGAACTGTGAGCTAAATAAACCTTATTTTTTTCCTATATAAGTTATCAAGTCTCAGCTATATCAGTATTGTAACAGAAACTGACCAATAGAGTGTTTGTTTTAAGGTGGCGAGATGATAAGGGAAATTTTTGTTGTTCTGGGCTCATCTTGACTTGGTGGCTGAATGTCAAGCCAAAGAGGCTAGAGCAGCTGTGCTCCTCATTCAAGGTATGTGGGTAGTTTACAGTATCCTTTTCCCAGGCTGATGGGGTAGCAGCTACCGGGGGAAATTTCTTCTCATAATAATGGCAAAGGAACAAGAGGGCAAAAGGAGACATGAAAGATGTTTAAGGTCTGACTCAGCCTGGGCATTTTCATTTTTTCTCCTATGTCATTTGTCAAAGAAAGTCACATGATAAATCCCGAAGGTGAGGTATGAGGAAATATACTCTGCCTTAGCAAGGATATGAATGCAGGGAAGGATGGAGACAAATTTTTTGGGATTGGCTAACTTCACTTAGCATTATCTTCTCCATCCATTTACCTGTAAATGCCATGATTTTATTCTCTTCTATTGCTGAGTAAAATTCCATTATGTATATATGCCAATTTTTTTAATCCATTCATCCACTGAAGAGCATCTAGTTTGGCTCCACAGTTCAGCTATTGTCAATTGTGTTGCTATAAACATTGATGTGGCTGTGTCCCTGTAGTATGCTGTTTTTAAGTCTTTGGGGTATAAACCGAGAAGAGGAATAGCTGGGTGAAAAGATCATATTTTCAAATATGTTCATATTCACAAATATTGGAGGTTAGTAATTCAACAGATCTATTTGGGTGCACAATCAATCAACAAAACAGAATATGGTGCTATCTTTTATAAATCACAGTATTTGTTTTAAAGTCTGGGTCCTAGACTCACTGTAAATATCATCTGAGAGCTGATTTGAAATTAAAATTCTTGCATCTCACTCTAAACCTACCTAATTAGAAACTTTGGGATTTAGGACCTATTAATGTGAGGTGTGACAGGTTCCTCACATGATTTTAACCCATGCTAAAGTTTAAGAACCACTACATTAGAAGACACTATAACTGAGATTTAACTATTGTTCTGAAGAAAGAGTGAGAAGCAAGACTGTGTGTGTATGTGTGTGTTCCTGAGAATTTAGTGTTATTAGAGCAGAAATGGGGGCATCCAACTACTGATAAGATGCAAAGGAAAGGAATTGCTCACAAGGGTCAGGTGTTAGAAGTGCAGGGGGTTTAACCAATCCTTGGAGGAATATGAAAAATCTTGGTTCCACTTCGCCCATGATGGATGGAGATGATCAAGTGGAGTTCTTTCATCCCAAGTCATCACAATGAATATTCATTTCTTTGGATGTGAGGAAGCTGGGAGAGGTGATCCAGGTTGGCTCCTGAGTCACACCTGAGCTACACTGGGTAGAATCAATAAGAAAACATAGGCAAGATGTTTTGCAGTGTTAGATATATTTATTACCAGAGAGCTATTGATGACTCTGTAGGTCTGTCTTCAGTTAGTTCTGGAAAAGAATGACCTTGTGCAGAACTAAGAGAGTAAAGGTGCCATACCTGAGTATAGCATTCAGGCACAGGACACAGGAATTTAATTTACTAATAAACTCACATCTAATATAACTAAATTTAAGAGCTTCAATTATCTTAAATTATCTTAAGTTTAAGAGCTTAAATTGTAGAAAGTCAGAGCTTAGATGGGGTTAGATTCTCAAGTTAAAAGTGTAGTGTAAATACCAGAAATGGCCAATTTTGCACTTTAAAATGCTTTAAATTGCCCATAAAATATGGCACTGGACAGTAATTTTATGTATAATAATCTCATAGCCTAATTTTCTGATGTGCCAGAATTGGGGAACATAGAGGAAAGTCAATAAGGATAATCTTTATGCAAATGTATGTTTATTAAAAACATTATTCCTTTAAAATAATAAATTCCTTGTTATGAATGGGGGCAAGGATAGATAGATGTGATTTTTTTTAACCTGGCCTCTAATGTCTTAATATGCTTTTTAGTTTTATGAGGTTTAAATGAGAAAATTAAAGCTTCATCTTAGAGCAGTGGTAGGTCTGTAAATAAATTGGAATTCTGTTCAATAGATTTAACCTGCCTCTATGTGCTAAACGGTACTCCCTTAGTGGTTATGATTTTCTGGAAGTTCTTCTTAGTTCTTTAGCAGCGTCCAGGCATTGTGACTCTGGAAGCCGTGTGCTTAACTATTCCGCTACTCTGCCTTTCTAGTTTCTCACCTGTTTTGTTCCCACCACATATAATTTTGGAGAGTGGCAAAAATCAAAACAAAACAAAACAAACAAACAAAACAACCTAGAACATGAATCTGGACATGTTGCTCTCAAGTGTGGGCCCAAAGATGTCCCTCCGGTGCTGTTCTTCTTGAAGGTTGGGAAGTAATATGGCTAAAACCTCAGCAGCCTCTTATTCTAGGGAGAAAATAGGCTTTCTTATTCTCCAGAGGGGCAGGGAAAAACTGCATATCATGTTGATGCAAAATAGAAGAATGGATTTTGGATTCTTCTGTGGTTAAAGACGAGAAAAGTCTGTCCATCCGTGGTTAGAAAGTAAAAGTCTTGGAGTTTCGTGCAGTCAGAGCCAGGCAGCAGGCTTCCCCAGTGCTGATGACAGATTAGTGCCCTCATAAACCTGAAGGCATGATCTAAGGCTCAATCCTAATGTCTGCAAATGCAAAGAAGTAAAAGAAAAATGAGACATGGGAGATGATTTAGATTGTACCTGGGAGAGAAAGAATGTAGCACAGCCAAGATTTGCCTGGGAGATAAGGCCAGCATTAGCACAGACCAGCACAGGTTTTGCCTGCTATGGGTCTTTTCCAGCCTGTGGTAACTGTTAGGAGGAGGCATTTGAAAAGCCTTTCTTTGAGGTCCGTTTGATTCAGGAAACCTAAGAGATGGAAATATGAATCTTCTGGGATAGGGGAAATTTTGGGTTAGGTTTTACCCCACAGCTTTAAGTGCTGATGGAGTCATACCTATTAGGTGTCTCAGGTAATGTATATTCCTCAAGGTCATCCTGCATCCTAATACAACTCTTCTATGGACTCTTGGTGGTACTTTCTTCTCACTCATGGGCTGGTTTCTGGAAAAAGAACAACAAACACAATGATGAAGACTGCCTAAGGCTCTGGTTCATATGAGGGCTGCCTTATGTGTCTTCATTATTGACTCTACCTAACGACATATAAATATACATGTCATGTGCATATACATTTAAATATAACAACATATACAAATACTGCGCACCCTGGAAACAGAACGAAGTTCAAACTCTGCCTGTTTCTACGTACTGGTTGGGCAAACTAAAACAAAATATTCACATCTTTGACCCTGATTTTCTCATCTATAACATTGACAATAATCTGTCCTCTACAGGATTTTTTATTTTGTTTTGTTTTGTTTCTGATAAAGGGGATTGGACTCAGGAATACTTTAGTACTTAGCTCTACCCCAAGACCTTTTTATGTTTTATTTTGAGACAGGTTTTTGCTAAGTTGCTTAGGGCCTTACTAAGTTACTGAGGCTGGTTTTGAACTTGCGATCCTCCTACCTCAGCCTCCTGAGCCACTGAGGTTAGAGGCATGGACCAAGGTGCTTAACCCTACAGGGTCTTTTTGAGAAAAATGATCCCTCTATATTACCAACTAACCTAAAATGTAGAAGCTTGATATAATAAACACTTATCATTTCACACAAGTTATGTGCTTCATGGAGCTGAGAACAGAGTAGGTATGTTGTCCCAGCTCAGGGTTTTACATAAGGTTGCAGCCAGGATGTTGGTTGGTGCTGATTTCATTTGAAGGCTGTACTGAGACTAGTGGAGCTACGGAAGTTGACTTGTTCCACACTTAGAAGTCAGTGCTGGTTGTGGGCAGGAGGCTTGAACCCCTCACAACATGGCCCTTTTCATTGAATTTCTGGATCCACTTCAGAAAATGACAGCTGGTTTCCCCTAGGGAGTGATCCAAGAGAGCAAGGAGGAAGTCACAATGCTGACTTGCTAGAAATGAGATACTAAGGTTAGCCCACACACAAGGTGGGCAGGATGAGGGTCTACTTTTTGAAATGCATGTCAAAGGGTAGAAATATTTGTAAATTTCCATTAGAAGTAAGACAGTTAAAATTCTTGTAACAGAATTTAAAATTTCACTAAATGAGAACAATTATTAATTGAAAGTTTTAGCAGTATCCGTTCTATTCTACCTCTTTGGTCCCCAGCATAGTGTTATATCACAGCCTTTTAAGATAAGGAGAGAAAAGTGTTGCTTGCCTTGTGTCTGGTGTTGTGCTAAACATTTGTGTGGAACAGAACATTTAATCTTCATGATGACCCTGGAAAAATGGGTGCCAGTCTATTAGAATCCTAATTCTACAGATGGAGGTAAAGTATGACAGAGAAGTTAAGAAGTTCATTGGATTTTTATAGAGAGAAGATTTTTTTTAGACCCCAAATTGGTCTCAAGTAGTCCTCTCGGATTCAGCTTTTAATCGTCTTACTGTGAATATTCCCACCAATCAAGGAGGCTCCCAGATTTATTCAGGTGAAGCACTTCTATCTCTGAAGTTTATTTGTCTGGAACTATTTTGGAGGTCAGAGAGAAGATATTTGAATTGTGAAGTCTGTATCTTGAGGCCCTTTGTTCAGATCTAGGTTGCCCTAGAAATTCCCAGTTAAAATTTCCCCATGTGAAAGACAGGAGGTCCTCTTTTACCCTCTTCCTTGTCCATCTTTTGATAAAAAAAAGTACCCCACAGCCCTTCTACTTTCTTGTTTTACACTTTCAATTTCTCCTTGAAACTTGGATGTCTGAAAGTCCTATGGCTGCATCAAAAGTTTGAAAACTACAAAAACAGATGACCTCAGAGGTCGTTTTGTGTTCCAAATTCTTATGATGACAGGAGCCCTCTTTGTCCCTGCCTCCCCATCATTACAGAAGTCAGTGACCAAGTCCAGTCAATTCCATTCTCACCAATTGCTCTCGTGATTTTCCTTTTCTCATCCCTTATCATTCTACATCTGATAAGAGCTGAGATTGAAACATTGAAGCAGTCCCTTAACAGGGTCCATATCTCCAGTCACTCTCAATTCCAAATTATCTTGTGTCCAATGGCCACATAAATCTCCAAGAATGTCTTGCTCGGCTTGCCACTGTACTGTTAAAATAAATCCTTTTTTTCATTGACTATGTCACACTTACTTCAGAGAGAGGTCCCACTGGTACCAGTCCACATCACTAGATAGCTTTTGCAGAGATCAGCCTAAAAGAAATTAAGTCATTTTCCTTACTAATAGAATAGCATAAAGGCTCTTGTATGCTGATGTGCCACGTGAATCTTCTGGAGAGAGAGATTATGTGACCTAGGGGTTTCTTTCTTGGCTTGTTGTGGGCAAGCAGGTTGAAGGTCATGGATTTTTTGAAGTTATCCACATGGAAGATGTTTGTTATCACCATGCCTCTTCCCTGATGCTTTTCCCTTGGTGACGAGCCCCCTACTCTCAATAATGCACCTTAACATGAGAAAGTTCAAAAAGTCAGAACTCACAGGCTGTTGCTCTCTCTGTCCTTTGTGCCTCACCCTTAACCTCCCCCAAAACCACCACTTCAGAATGTCGAGATGTGTTTGTGCATGTACACATTAACCTAAGTTTCTTTACTGAAGGACTGGGCATGAAGGACGGTACTGAACCGGATGAAAATTTTCGAAGCCACAAACTAACATAACTTAGCGTCCAAAATATGTGTGTGTGTGTGTGTGTGTGTGTGTGTGCATGTATTTGTGGTGTATTTCTAATCTGTGTGTATGTGTGTGTGTGTTGAATAAGAAATTAACCCTTCACTAACTTGGTCCTCTTTGAGCACATTGACAGTTTCAAACCTGACTTCCCTATCCCTGGCTTTGTCCCTCTATCTGAGAATCTTATCTTATGGACTTCCCCAATGAAACTCCATTCATATTATGGACAACCCCTATGCCTACCCATTGGGTCATTCCAAGATTTATTGTGATTTCACTCATTAAGACAGCTGAGATGACCCATAGATGCAAGGAAAGCAAGCCTTTGCATCCCGAAGTTCAAGTCAATGAATCCAGAGTAGAATCCTGTGCTTGTTTGTTTGCTTGTTTGGGGGCAAGTAATGATTTCTTTTGATATCCCAAGAGATGAGGAACAGGACATGAGGACATTTCTGGTGGTGCAGACCTGTGGCATCATCCAGGTAGGCATGTGTCCCCCAGCGCAGATTTCTTTGGAGGTTACCCTAAAAAACAAAAAAACAACTCTGATGATTAGAAATTAGATTGGTTAGAACAGCACTGAACTTACTTTAAAATTATCTTAATCCTCAGGGAGAGCAGAGTCCCTCTAAACCCTACTGAAAAGCAAAGTATTTTCTAACTGCTTTGTAATTTGCAAGATAACTTTTTTTCTTCTTTTAAGGGCAGAAAAGTCCATTATTATGCACAGTGCTATTGTATCCCTTCAATGCTTTTCACTCGTATCACTTTGGACATTATGAAAAGGGAAGGAATTGTATGCTCCCTAAGATGGTTTCCTTAGTCCTATAAAGAGAACATTTGAAGGATCATTCGAGCAAGCAGTCAAGAACTAAGTAGCTGGACACTAGAAATGAAACATCAATAATGTATTTCCCACCCTGAGAGTTGGCCTTAAAGGCATTTATCCACTCATTTGTTCATTTGTCAATTACTTTGGATGTTTACTATATGCTAGAGACTATGTCGGGTAGTGAGGAGTTCTTAGACTGAATTCCCTGAGATTAAACTCTGAGACTGGGAATTGTATGAAAAGGATTATTCTCTAATAATAATAATAATAATCTTGGGAGATACAACTAAAAGAAAGTAAGGGAGGAGGATAGGATTGGTCAGAGAACAAAGTGCTGCTTAATGCAACTGAACAGAGACCTAGTCCAGACTGGAAGCTCTGGAGCTGAGATGACCCTGCAGAGCTGTCCCATAGAAGCAAGGACAGCAAACCTTTGCATCCCCATGTCAGTTAGTCATTGGGGACCCATTCTCCCTGAAAAGGGACTATAACATGCTCCAAGGAAGTCTTTGCAGCCTGAAGTTATGTCATGACTTTGAGACATTAGCAATCAATATTCCCAGTAGCTGGGAGATGGGGAGAAATCTGAGAATACCATACCCACTACTGGGATATAACAGGGACATGGATCCATTCATGCCTTTAGAAATCCAATAGTCTGGATAGGGAGATACAATAGGAAATAGGGAAGGGCCAATGCAGATAGGTAAATTCCAGGCTGTGGAAAGTGCTGTGAAGACACAGAAGGACATCTAGCCCAGGCTTTGATATGAGGACTGGGCTTGTGTGGGAGGGGGTGGGGGAGAACATGGCACGGGCTCCTTTCAGAATCAGCTATGGCTGGATAGAAAGGGCAATAGAAGCAGCAGCAGCACAAGGGGAGGGAAGGGAGCTGGCCCAGGGCTAGACCCTGAAGCATGGCTCTAAGAGAGCAGGCAGGCCAGGCCCAGCATCTGGGGATTTTTATCTGGATTATTCTGACAATCACAGATTTCAACAGGGAGTTACACGATATAATTTGCACTCCAGGAAGATCATTCTGGCTGCAGTGTGGAGAAAGGATTGGAAGTAAAGAGCAACACAGGGCTCCTCTGAGGGACCCTGTGGGCGACTGGGTCATTAGTTTCAGGTGAGAAATGATAGTGATTAAAATGGAGGCATGTCAGTGGGGATGGAGAGAAATGGATGGATTTGCGAGATATTAAGGGGCCAGAATCCACCTAAGACTTGACTGATTGGATATGGGTCATGAGGGAAAAAGAAGAGTCCACCTCAAATTTGTCTTTGAGCCCAAGCAGGCTGGCGAGAGTGGGAAGAAGGGATCTCAGAATGTCAGACTGAAGCAAGGGAACCAATTAGAGCCATGATAAACAACATCTTTTTGTACAGAGACCCAGCTGGGAGGGGGATAAGGCTAATGGACCTAACTCTTTCCATATAAGTGAAAATGGCACTATAGAAATCTATGAAAATTATATACATATATAACAATTTAAATACCTCTTTTTAAAGAAAGC